TCCCATAGGGCCATGCAGGGGCAATTCTCTAGACTGTGTTTTAAGTTCCAAATTTGGTTGAGCATTCCTTCTTCCCGGGCGCCCTGTGGTGAGATGGGTAAAGGGCTAATACTATCATGCCTTAATCGCATCACCCTGGAGCTGAAGGGGGAGATCTTTGTTATGTAGAATAGACTGGCTCAGGCATTTTAATGGCCCATTAAGGGGCTATTAAGAGTGAGTCTGTTTCCTGCCTAAAACATGTCTCTCTGTTTCTTATCCAGGGAAATATAATATTCTGCCTTCTTAATATTTCCCAGGATATTTCATTTTTCGAGAGGGGCGGGTTTTACCTTCCTACACTGCCATGTAAGATCAAGGTAAGATCCCTCTCTAAAAATCAGCCACATATTCTCTCCTTCCTACACATGCTTGACCTTCATATGAAAACCAAAGAGCCTGAACTGCGGAGCTCAGCTTTGGCACACTTTTTCAAATGCTAAGTTATTTATAACTTGCAGAGATGTTGTATAGTGTAAATATCCAGAAATAAAACTGCACTGTAGCGAAGGCTTATTAAACAAAGCTAGACAAAGAAATAGCCAGCAGTGTGATTTTTATCCTTTAATCAGTTAGGTGGCACAAACAGTCCCATTGAACTGCACAAGAAAGGGATGCTGTGATGGAATAAATACGTAATCAATTTACATCCAAAGAGGTCTGAAACACTATGAAAAAACCCACTGTGACTAAAATACATATTCATTAATTTTCATAACATTCCGGGAAGTGACAGACTCGTGAATGTACTTTTTGTCATTTATAGAAATGCAAGCAATCAAGAGATACCTGAATGAGAAAGACTATACATAGTCTTGTTGAAGACTATGGCAAAAACCTTTATTAAAAATAAGCTAGCGGTCATAGATCAACGATGCTGGCAGCGCTCAAAGATTTCTGTTAGCAAATCTGCCACGCAGCTTATTGGCTGTGACACATAGAGGAAACAATTCAAGGACTGGAATTCCCCTGAAATGTGCCCATGTGAAAAACTTCTGCTGGGATTCCCCTGAGCAGAAAGTCCCTAATGTTCTTGAACTCGGTGTACCTAATTGAAGGGATCTTTGTTTCTTAACTCTACAAAACCAGATTTAAAATGAATGGTGTTTATACAGAAATAAAAACCGGTGTTGATTTTCTGCATGACCAATGGTAGTTTTTCCACCTTGTGATAATCATAAGGTAGTCAGAAATTTTCCTTTAATTTACCCCAGAAATTTTGTCCAAAATGAAAGCTTGCTTTGACCTGGAATTCCCTAGAAGAAAAAGATTAACCTTTCCTTATTTCAAAAGGCTCCTATCAACTCACTAAGCAGCATTACGCTAATCTTTCATCTTGGCTCCTAATGAAATGGACGGATGCCAAGCTATCCATCTATGTACTTTGGAGCACAGAGAAAAATTATCAGGATATAATTACGACTTTCCTAACCACCCACCTCATACTAATAAGCATTTCAGCCCAACTGGTGGCCCACGGAGATCAAGTTTCAGTTATATAAGGCATGCATGTAACTACAGATGGGATAGATAGATAGGTAGATGTAGACACACACACACTCACATACACACAGTGGTGGGATTCAATTTTTTTACTACTGGTTAAAATCTCCATTCCCTCCCGATCAGCTGGGACTTGGGAGGCAGAGAATAGATGAGGGCGGAGTCAGTCAAAAGTGGTATTACCAGTTCTCCAAACTACTCAAAATTTCTGAAGAGTTTGAGTTTATTG